GCATGTTTGTCTGCCGTGGCAAGCGCAAAAGAGTATAAAATCCTCATGGTGAACTCGTGCTGGATAGATGTCGGGCAGCACTTGGGTCCAGGGACCTGGCGCATGCCAAGAGGAGCAAGTGCTCCCATCCAAGATCTAGTATCCCTCGGCGCCAACCTGCAGCGACATAGAGCAGCCATGCGAGCTACTGCTGTCGAGAAGTATCTCGCCATGCGCTCGAGCGTGGCCGCGCCGCATTCTCCTGAGGAGCAACTAGAGAAAGCCCCGCGCTGACCGTGAAGTCAATAGCAAGCTCTGCCCAGGTGACTGAGAGTGGCGCCGTTGGTGTATCACCAGCTCCCAATTGTAGTTGCATGCAATACCAAATCACTGCAGGAAAGAGGCCTGCGGGTACTTCCAGGTAGACGCGGCAACCTTCTCAGGGATGTTCGGGACGAACTTCCAGGAAGATAGGTTCGGAGCAATTGGGTCCCATTGATACCCAGGAATGGCCATCTTCGGGCTCCAGGTCAAGAGGTTGTCCGTCAGCGGGTTCAGGACCATGGGCTGGTGTGAGCTGATCGCAATGCTGGTGCGTGCAGCGCCTGAAGAGGGGGGCTGCTGTGAATGATGCTGTTGGTGTGAGACTCATGCTAGCCGTGTTGACTCTTGAAGCCGTAGTCGCTGGTATTCGTCTTGGTGGCGGTGCTGACTTGCCGCGGTACCTTCGCGTTGGCTTTGCGTCGAACACGGTCGTAGGTGGTAGTGGCGGGCGTGCTGTGGCAGGGTCCGCGTCGGACACGCGTGGCGACGGTGAGCCTGGCAGCCGCATTGGCGCACCAAGACTTTGCGTCCTAACGCCTTCCGTGGCGACCGAAACTGGTAGCCCTGTTGGCACGCCAGGCTTTTGCATTCTGACTCCAGTAGCGTCCAGACACGCACCCTGTGATGTCGCAGTTTCTTGTCGTGGTTCATCTCCGTCGTCCATGCCGAGATGCGCCCAAGGACCATGTTCATCGCCTTCGTCACACTCAAGATGGCCTTCTCCTTCATCCTCGGCATCCAGGAAAGACACGAATATGGGCGCAACGTTCGTCATGCTTGACACGGCCAAGCTCGCTTAAGGAATGGGCCCTACGCTCTAAGATCATGACCACATTCATCTGGATAGTATAGCAGAGCTTCTGATCTTGCAGATGCTGCTGGCGCATTGCTTGAGGAACTGCATGGAGGCGAGCAGCACGTACTGCACCTGCATATGCCTGTTGATTGCGTTCCCACAGGTGTAGATCAGTATCGGGTACATCAGCACGCTTCCTGTGGGCCTTGATCTTCTGCACTCTGAACGTGTCTCTGTCTAGACGCAATTTTCTCTCCTGCTTGCGCTGCGCCGCGAGCGCAGCGGAACCTCTAGCGCGTGCGCCGGGGCAGATGGAGCGCAACCTCATGCAAGCCGAGTAGCGTGACGTCCACTTTCATGCATCTGCTGACGATAGCTGTCCCGTATCACTCCTCCAACCCCATTTGAATTCCACGCGATGAACTCTGAGACCCCCCGCTCTGCCGGCACGCGCTTGACTGCGACGTGTCGGAAGGCCATCGGACTCTTCCAGATTTGCTCCCACGCGCAGGAAGCCCGCGAATCGAGCACAAGGAAACTCCCGAGGAAACTCTCTACAAACTAATCCGCGGCCCGTGACCTTCACCGACTGGATGAAGCGCAGGCCGGACTGGAAGTGGCATGTCGACTGGCATTTCCTACAGTAGGAGCTTGACCGCAAGAAGCCTTCCACAAGAAATCCAGCCCTGAGACCCCAGGGCGCCCCCTGATTGTTTGCGCGCGTGGGAACGTCGCGCTTTCCATGCAGGGACCATCGACACCCAAGAAACCCAGGGCACCCTGGAGGCAAGCAGGGTGTTTCTTGGCATGGGCTCCATCTGTACGTGGAAATGGATGGGGTCTTGCCGCTTGCCTGGACATTCCGTTCAAGTGGATGGCAACTGTCCAATGGGGCCGTGCTGGTGGATCTGGCAACAAACACTTCACGGCAAATGAGAAAATCCCCTCTGGCTGCCAACGGTGGCTCTCCAACCGGCGCAATGCGTTTGAGTCTCATGCGCCTCGCTCTGCATGTTCTCGGGGGGCCAAACTCCATGTTCTGCTCCAGCAGTGCATGGGTACTGGCGCATTCCGATCGGGTTTCGAAAATTCGCTGAGTAGGTCAATGTTCGCTCCTGCCGATCCTATCCCGAAATGCAATTAATGCGACCTGATGACAATCGGCGTCGGCAAACCAATCTTACCTTGGAGGGCTGCGATTCTCGCCCGAAGCGCAGAATCATGATCGTTCATTTCGGCCGCATCCGCTGCGGGGTCTCCTGAACACCGCGCAACCTGCACTCGACTCCGCCAACCCTGTCCCGGACTTCCCACAAAGTGGCATGTTGAGCTGGAAGCGGGCCTGCTTCGCCCATGCCACGGCACGCTGGTGCCTAATCGCCCTTGAAGCCCACCAGCCGAACCCTGGTGATCATGATCATGTAGAGGGATTGAGCGTCCACACTGTAGGAGGTCGACATCGTGCTACCCCGCCTTCTGGCGTTTTGGCATGTGCTGCGATATGTGGAACCTCTGGGACTGCTCTGGGTCGTCTGGCTACAGCAGCTCCTGTTTTCTTGGGGCTCTTCCGGAGGTCCTGATCATACAGTTGGGGCGGTTTTTGTCGACACAACCATGAAAGAACTGAAATTCAAGGGAGACAGATCATTGCACCAGCCTTGCAGACGTGCTGCAGCAGATTTCTGGGTGGATTTCTCCCCGACGCGGCGCGTGAAACACGAAGTGAATTTCGCGTGGATTCGTTTTTCGTCTTCACTCCTGGCTCCCAACAAAAATCCGAAGGAAATTCGCATCGAAATCCGGAACGAAATTCTCCAGGACACTCTGGGTTCACCCTGTCGTTTTCCGAACGAAATCCGCTCTGCGATGTTGGCGCCATGAGAAGGAGGACATGGGGCCGTATAGACGACAGGCTTGACGATCTCCTGGGCGAGCTGGCTGTTCTGGCTGCGCACAGGCAGAGGGATCGCGCTACCATGCCCACGCGGTGGCGGGCGAAGCGGCGCACCCTGCTCAGCATCGCCGTGGCGATGTCCATCGGCAGGGCGGTGGTGGACGCCGTGCCGAAGTGAGGCTCCATCCTGTTGCTCAGTGCTCTGTTTTCATGTGATTGCTGACCGAGAGAGAGAGAGAGAGAGATAATGGGGAGGCGCAAAGCGCGACTCCGGCTGCAGCGGCGCCTCGAAAGCGCGCGGCCGGCGGCGAGGCAGCTGGGCCGTGCCCCGCTCGCGCAGCCGAAGGGCTCGGTCGGGCACGTCCCCCTGCAGGCGGGTTTTGGACGGAAAATAAAACATACCCTAAAAATGTTCCAAAAAAGTCAGGAAATACTCAAAGAACGTCCCCAGACTAGTTTGTTGACTATTTTGGATATTCCTTCTGTGGAAGGACAGGCCCGACTTAAGCCTACGACAGAACCCGAGGCAAGCTGTAGAACACCTCAGGAATACGGAGCCCCTCCCAAACGAGAAGGGCTTCAGCGCCCCCCGACTGTATGGCGTCGGGATTGGTGACTTCCGGTCCTGCTGCATCTCCAGGCCGTTTGAAGCAGCCCCCCGTAACAGGAACCTGGCCAGCAGGAGGAGCCGGAGCAATTTTGAGGATCTGGTCCTGGAGTTCCTCTCCTCTTCGTGCTAGCTGCCGGAAGGAGCGACGCAACCTCGAGGCCGAATCCGCCCGCATACAGTCGGGGCGTTGACCTAAGGAACCCTACCTAAGGAACGAGGCCCCTTGTGCTCACAGGTTAAACTTCGACTCCCGATCGAAAACCTAAGGGACAGCGGAGGCAAACTGTGAAACAAGTAAGGATCACGGAGCCCCTCCCCAGCGCAAGCGGTTCCTCCTTCAGCGCCCCGACTGTGCTTCTGCCGTGCCTCATCGAGCAGGTCGAACATCTGCAGTTCCTGGGCAAGCTCCGGGCTCCCATCGGCGGTCGGCGGTGCTGGCATCCCTGCTGCTGCCAGAGTTTCCGTGATGTGGGGCTCGGTCTGCGCGGAGGTGTCCCCGCGAGCCTTCTCCTGCTCCACCTCCTGGTCGCAGACCCGCGGCGCCTCCTGGGACGCTCCACCTCGGCGTCTTCGATCCCCGTGTCCTGGACGGCCCCCTGTGCTTGAGCTTTTTCAACTCCTGCGCCGGAGGAGGTCTTGGAGAGGTCCGCTGGCAGCCTTGCTCGAGACCCTCACCTTGCAATAAACTTGACCACGTCAACGTTGGACATGGACGAAGCCGCCGCAGGTGCTCCCGACAACTGTCTAAGAACAGTACACTGGGAAGGCCGCAGCGGGGGTCGCGACAGAGCCTGGTCTCGGTCTGCCCTTGCCCCTGCTGCTGCCACGGCGCGTCACTGCGTTCTGCGAACCTGCTCCGGCCAGATCTGGCTCGGGCCCGCTGCGCCACTTCCAGGTGCGCTGGCCTCAAGGTTCGCTGAAATCCGTCCGAAACCCGGAAGCGGCTGGAAACGGAAGGGGACGAAGGAGACAGCAGAGAGGGAGGTCCTGGCGCTTGCCTTGCCTCGGAATTCGAGCCTGCCGCCGCTGCCGCCGCCCTGCTGGTCCTCCTCCGCGCCCTCGTCCTCGCCGTGCTCGCCGTGCTGTCGTCGTGGGGGCCGACGACATCGTCCTCGTCGTTGTCTTTGTTGGGGCCGCCGTCGTCCTCCTCGCCCTCCCTCGCTTCGTCGTGGTCCTCCGTCCCTCCTCTTATCATCCTCCCCACTCCTCCCTATGCTCTCCCTCCTTGTCTGCCTACCCCTCCACGCTTCTCCTCCTCCTCCTCCTCCTCCTCCACTTCCTCCTCCAATCTCTCTCTCTCTCTCTCTCTCTTCTATAGTTTTTGTCAAGAGCCAACCGGTGGGTGCGGTCGCTGGTATGCGCTCGGGTCCCCCAGGATTCCTGAGTCTCGTTTCATTGCAGGGGGGATCCCAGGGGGTCCTTGGTTTTTGTTTCCTTACAGTGCGTTGCACGGATTGCTGGGCCTTGTTCTTTGGTCATTAGTTGGTCTTGGCTCATTGGTCTTGATTCCTTGTCTCCTTGGTTCCTTGATCATGGTTTCCTGATCTTGGTTCCTTGGCTCCTGGGTTTTGGTTCCATGGTCTGGGTTATTTTCTACATTTGTTCCTTGCCGCCTCGCCCAAAGCAATGCCAAATAATGCCAAGCGGTGCCAAGCAATACCAAGCAATGCGAACCAATGACACGCAATGAAAAGCCATACCGAGCAACGCCAAGCAATATGCCAAGCAGTGCGCCAATGCAGTGAGATAAGGTCCCCTAATTGGTGTCGCGCCTGGCTCATTGTTGTTCCTCCTCTCTCTCTCTCTCTCTCTCTCCCCGTCGCTATGCCTCTCTTTCGATACATGGATATATATAGACGTGTATAGAGTCTATGATACATATACCATTATCTCCTCTACTCCCTACTTTCTCGTATTCCCGCTCTCTCCTGCCAACTGCCTGCTCCAAACTCCCTCTGCCCTATGCCGTTCTTCCTCCTGGCAGGACGGGGGCAGACAGGACGCTTCGGTTCCCCGCTGTGATCGTTTCTCTCGCTCGAACACTGAGTGACTCCTACTCCCCGTTGTTCTTCTCTTGCAAGAGACTCCCCCGGCTGCACACAACAGCCTGCGCTGATGCTGGGGAGGGGGAGGCCGGATGCCGACGGTGATGAGGAGGGAGGAGGGAAGACGAAAGCGGAGGACAGAGATGAAGGGGAGAAGGAGGAGGAGGACAGGGGAGGAGGAGGAGGAGGAGGAGGAGGAGGAGGAGGAGGAGGAGGAGGAGGAGGAGGAGGAGGAGGAGGAGGGAGAGGATTTTGCCCTCGCTGCTGAAGCCGCCTCGCACCGCGTACGAGAAGCCGTCGCCCACGAGCCTCGCAGAGCTGAAGACGAAGCCGCCGCACGCGCATCGCATCTCAGCAGATGGATGCAGAGGAGGAGGAGGAGGAGGAGGAGGAGGAGGAGGAGGAGGAGGAGGAGCTGCTGCCTGGCTGATCGGCCGTCGACCGCCAGCCTAACCATGGACCAGCAGCAGCCCAGGCGATGCCGCCAGGCAGAAGCCGAAGCGAACCCCCCGAGCGGCACCCGCTCGGAGTGCCAGGCGGTGCTGCGGCGCCGCCTCGCGGACCCAGGGATGCTGAGCCCGCTGGCCAGCCGCCGCAGCGCAGGCCGAGCAGCGAGCTCGCGATGCTGCCAAGATCCAGGAGAGCCGCCAACGTCGGCAGCGCGCACAGCAGCGACCGCCGCCGCCTGCCGCCTCGCAGCTCGGCGCGCCGCTGATGGGCCGATGGAATCGACGTCCGCTTGAAGCTGAGCCGAATGCCGCCGCGCTTTCGGGCCGCCCCCCGTCGCCATTGCAAGGACCGAGCGCGCTCGAACCAAACAGGCTTGCGCCAAAACGGCTACGGAAGGAGGAGGAAGGAGGGAGGAGGAGGAAGAGTAAGAGTAAGAGGAGGAGGAGGAGGAGGAGGAGGAGGAGGAGGAGGAGGAGCGATGAGGAGGAAGGGGAGGGACGATGAAGGAACCACAAGAAGACGAGGAGAGACGATGGCGTGGGATGAATTATGATCAGGATGGGAAAGGATGGATGAGGATAGGGCAGGGGAAGGCGGAGGAATGAAGAGGATGTCGAAGGGAGGAGTACGAACGGGGAGGGAGGAGGATTGAGTCCCACGCGCCTGCCACCAGCTCCACGCTACCATGCGCCGCAGTGTTGAAGATGGTCGCCTTGACGTCGCCTGGACAACCACGTGCACACACGCTGCTCGCCAAACGCACTCCCCCGCCGGCGGCCCGGGGGCAACTCCCAGATATCCCAAGGAACCGTAGCTCAGGGGCGGACCCCAAAGATCCAAAGGGACCCTCGGCCGGGGGCAGGCAGGTCCCAGGGGCTCTTAAGGACCCTCGGCCAGGGGCACGTCCCAAGGATCCTTGGGAACCCCAAAGCAGGGGTAGGTCCGACTGGCCCCAAGAAAAACATGGTCTCAAGTCGGGACTGGTATCAAGGATCCTGGGTGGCGCAGACGCATGTGGACACCGCCAATGAGGCCTTCGGTGGAGCTCCCTGTGGGGCCACGAAGCGTGTGAGGGGTGTGCCGAAACGGGTGGCGCGGACTCATGTGGACACCGCCAATGGGGACTCTTTGGAGGGAAGGCCCCTATGGGGCCACGAAGCGTGTGAGGGGTGCGCCGAAATGGGTGTCGCGGCGCATGTGCCCACCGCCAATGAGGCCTTCGGTGGAGCTCCCTGTGGGGCCACGAAGCGTGTGATGGGGTGCGCCGACACGCGTGGCTCGGACGCATGAAGACACCGCCACTGGTGCCTTCGATGGAACTCCCTCTGGGACCACGAAACGTGTGAGGGGCGGGCCGACATGGGCAGCGCGGACGCGTGTGGACACCGCCACTAGGGATTTCGGTGGAACTCCCGATGGGGCCACGAAACGTGTGAGTTGTGTGCCGAAACGGGTGGCGCGGATGCATGTGGACACCGCCATTGGGGCCTCGGGTGGAGCTCCCGATGGGGCCACGAAGCGCGTGAAGGACGCGACGAACTCGGTGGCGCGGACGCATGTAGACACCGCCACGGGGGCCTTCGGAGCCACGAAGCGTGTGCGGGGGGTGTGCCGGCATGGGTGGCGCGGGCGCATGTGGACACCGCCACTGGGCCACGAAACATGTGAGGGGTGTGCGGGAGTGGGTGGCGCGGACGCGTGTGGACACCGCCACTGGGGCCTTCGGTGGAGTTCCCAATGGGGCCGCGAATCTTGTGAAGAGTGTGCCGACAAGGGTGGCGCGGACGCATGCGGTCACCGACACTGGGGTCTTCGGAAGAAAGCTCGCTATGAGGCCACGAAACGTGCGTGGGACGTGCCGAACTGGGTGGCGCGGACGCATGTGGACAGCGCCATTGGGGGCTTCGGTGGAGCTTCCAGTGGTGCGACGAAAGGTGTGAGGGGTGTGCCGAAAGGGGTGGCGCGGGCGCATGTGGACAGCGCCACTAGGGCCTTCGGTGGAGCTCCCTATGTGACCGCGAAACGTGTGAGGGGTGTGCCGAAAAGGGTGGGAGGATGGGGAGGAGGGGACGAGGAAGGAAGGAAGGAGTGGACGTGGGGCGCTGCCTTTTCAAAACGAGGACCCAACACCACAAGATGGTTGGGAGCAAGGGAAGCCAACAATAGAAATCAATACGAAAACGTCTGGGACCAAAATTCCTGTAAGGGTCCTGCAAGCCTGGAATAAGTATAAACACCTGGCAATCCTTGTAAGACCATTGAACACATTAAACGCCGAAGGTTTTCGGCATGAGCGCTCCCTTTACAATGAGGAGCACGACAAACCTTACAAGTAAACATTAGTGTGCTTCGAACGGTCCCCACCGAAACCTTCGGCGTTTGTTCCCAACGGTGCGCGCTCCTGCTGGAACGATGTTCAAGGGGCCCAACGATCTCGGCCAGCGCGGCGGCCGGGTCAGGTTGCAACTTGATGTTTCCCGAACGTCTAACAAACCAAAGTCCCCCGACGAAAGAAACCGAAACAAGTCCCTAGCCCACAAAACGAGTCTTGCGAAATGCCAAAAACTGGTTCGGAGAGAATCTGCAGCCTGTTGAAAAAGGGAGAGGAGGCGCAACAGCAGCAGCACGAATTGGCGGACGACGAAGGGGGAGGAGGAGGAGGAAGAGGAGGAGGTGGGGCGGACCTCTTCTTCCTTCTCCTGATCCAGACCCCCCGTCCTCCTCTGGCGACGGGGCGCATGTCACATTTGATGGGACGCCGTAAAATGGTGGCTGGCGTACACGAAATCATATGCTGTATTATGTTCGGTTCGATGCCGGCCACGTGTAATACATGAAATTATGTTATGTTGTGGACGGGCCGGCGTGACGTCGTGACGCCTTTCACGTTTGGTTTGGTTTTTAGTTGGTCGTTGGTGCTACTGTCTGTTTCTGTGGACAGCCTGGGCTTGGCGCGCATGTCGCGTATGATGGGCCGCCAGTGCTGGGCCGCTTCTACTCTATCACGTTGTGTTCGGTTCTGTTCTGTTCTATGCACATATGTTTGTGTCTGTTCTGCTCTCGGCGGGGCGGCGTGGGCGTGACGTCGTGACGCCTGTCGCGTTTGATATGTCGTCCCATCGGTCGTTGCCAGGCCTGTTTTTTTCTGTGGTCAGGCGCGGATGCTGCGTTGTACAGTGCTCCTTTAATTTGTCGTTGCTGTATATAACAGTGGTCAGGTATGCTATGCGGGGTAAAGTTTTATTCTGCGATGCTACACTATGATATGTTATGTTGTCGACGGGACGGCGTGACGCTGTGACGCCTGTCACGTTCGATACGTCGTCCAATCGGTCGTTGCTGCGCCTGTTTGTACATGTGACCAGGCTGACTTCGGCGCGCATGTCGCGCTAGATTATCGTCTGGTACGGCCTTTAATGTCTTTAATGTTATGAAGTTCATATTCAAAGATGTGTTCTCTTCGGTGAAAGTATGCTCTGGTATGCTCACCTCTATCGTTATATGGAAGGGTGTAGTATGGTATGCTCTGATATGTGGCACCACGTTATGCCATGATACGTATGTTCTGCCAGGTCATGTTCTGCTGATGTAATATCTGTGATGCTGTTTAGGGCATGCTATGCTCGTTATCGTTTTTTTTGCATGCAGCTATAGCTAGCCATATTATATCTAAATCGTTGGCGTCGGGGTAGCGGTAGTACAATCATTATGCTACGTTATGCTAGTTACGGTGTGCTCTATGTGTTATAATATGCTGATTTGGGTTTCCATTACGTTATGGTATGGTATGTCTGTTCTGTTCTGTTCTCGACGGGCCAGCATGGCGCCGTGAGGCCTGTCACGATAGATGAGTCGTCCGATTCTTCGTTGCTGCGCCTGTTTGCTCCTGTGGCCAGCCCGACCTCGGCGCGCACGTCGCGTTTGATCATACTGTAGTCCGATATATCATGTTGTGTTGCAATGCTTTGTCATGGTATGCTGCGATGTTTTGTTATGTGATGGTAAATTCTGTCAGCGTGTGGAATAGAATGCTCTGTTATGTTACGCTTTGCTGTGACGTAATATATCCTTTGTTCCTTGGTGTGTGGTCATATGTTATGCTCGGCACGCTCCATGGTGTCATTGCATGCGGTGTTATGATGTGTCCTCTTATGTACCGTTCTGGCATGATATTTAACATCATACGTTATTATGTCACGGTGTTATGATATCGTTTCTTATTCGATACTAGAATGTGGTATGCCGCGCCCTGTCATGGTTATGAAATGGTGATGCTGAATCACGATGTGATAGGGTATGGTAGGGTATGGTTTGGAATGATATGTTATGTCATGTTATGGTATTGCATGCTCTACTATGTCATAGTACGAGGTGCAGTATGTCATAGAGTAGTGTACTATGTGTTATGCTTGTTATGCAGCACTCTGTCATGCAATAGTGTGCCATCTGTGCAGTGATGACATGTGTCATGGTATAGACGCTGTGCTGGTGTGTCCTGGTGTGGTGTGTTCTGTCATGGTGTTCTATGATGTGATATGTTAGGACATGCCATCGTATGGTATGATCTGAACTGTTACGGTACGTGTGCTCCGATCTGTCATGTCATGCGTTGCTATGATGTGTGGTACTATGATGTGCTATGCCATGTTATGTGAGGCTATGACATGTTCTCTTTTGGTATGTGAAGTTCTGCTAGGTGTTCGTATGGTTTGTTTGCTGTATCACGATATGGCATTTTGTGTGTTGTGATGCTATGCTATGGTATGCTCTGCTCTGTCACGGTGTGTTATGATGCGATGTGGTGTGGTGATATGTTATGGTACGCTCGGACATGTTCGGCTCACTGGTGTGGTGGTATGACCTTTGCTATCATAGCTTACCGTGCTGTGCTGCACTATGTTCTGCTACTGTGTAATACAGCTCTGTCATGATATGATTTGTCGGCGCCAAGCGGGACACTCGGGGACACTCGGGGGACCTGGGGATCTGGCGGCCGCGGTATGCAGAATGGCGCGAGGCGGGATTCTCGGGGAGACTCGGGAGCCTGGAGATACGGCGGCCGCGCGGCCGCAGTATGCAGAGTGGCGCAAGGCGTGACTCTCGGGGATACCCGTCAGCCTGGGGATCTGAATGCCGCGGTATGCAGAGTGGCGCGGGGCGTGACTCTCGGGGATACTCGACAGCCTGGGGATCTGAAGGCCGCGGTATGCAGAGTTGCGCGAGGCGGGACTCTCGTTCATACCCGGCAGCCTGGAGATCTGGCGGCCGCGGCATGCCGAGTGGACGGGTTGGGAGGTCTGTTCTGGAAATCGAACGTCCCCAGCTTGCCATGTGGGGGGTACGAGGACAACCTCACAACCGATGACAATACGACGCTCTCACGATCAACACCTGTATCACGATTTTAGAAATGAGACAAACAAATACACATCGAACAACACTAATGCATCTGCACTCAAACAAACAGACGCCTCACGCATAAGAACATTCAGGTAATCTTACACCTCATACGAATATGCAGCAATCCATACTTACCGCCAATAAGACTGCATCTTAAAAACATGACCCCAAACAGGGTCGTAACACAAACCCAGCCAAACACCTCACGTAACGCAGTCCCTGTAAAACCCCTGGAAGTCACAACATGTGTTTGGCATTCGCGCTCCCTCCCTGGTCTCGCTCCCCTCTCCCTCCTGTTCCCTCTCCTCTCTCTGGAGGGAGCG